CCAGAAGTGTTCCCAGATTAAATTTAGTATTTACAAACTTGCAAAGCACACTTTTATGACAACATTACAGAACTTAATTTCAATCTCCACCTTACAAGGATATTAACCAGACAATCAAAAGAAAAGCTATTTACCCAGACATTAACACTTCTGTCCACAGCATCTGCAGGTGGCTCTGCCTGATGGTTTTCAGTACATCTGCCATTTTTACCAACCCGTTTTTTGGAGGCATGTTGAAAACACGATGCTAAACATTATCAACTGTAAACTATTATGATAGCAAAATAAGAAGAGATGTCCATGATTAGAACTTGTTTTAAAAAGAAATCTGCTATTAAATATATCATTAACACCTTAGCATGTTAAATTACAGTAGATATTTCACTGCATGATACAGAAATGCCTTACATATAGTTCAGTTATATCCACTAACCTTATGCCCATATTTCCTCTCTTAAGACCTTATTTTAGAGACTACTTATTCTGAAACATTTTATTTATCCTGTCAGATAGTGTCAGACACTTTAGGCCACCTGTTCAGATGCTCCGAACATCAGCAGCTCCCAGCTGACTGAGGTGGGAAGCTTGGATTTTTAAAAGTTATAGGAGAAATCTTGGGCAACGTAAACTCCAGTAATTCTCCCTTCTCCCTCACGGGCATAAAACCCTATTAAGGTAAAGTTAAAAAAAATCTACAACCTCATAGCAAGACCAAGTGTCACATTTTCCACGACTCCTAAAGAAAAACTCCAATATGAGCACTCCTATTCCTCTCTCATGGGTAGCTAAGCAGACAGAATTGAAGTAAGACTTTACTTCCCTAACAGAAAAGACTTCCCCAGAACTCAGGATAATTTAAAAATTATGGAAGTGGGGAAACTAAAAAATGCCTGCAGGCTGACTTTTATTTCTTTACAATGTAAAAATTATATTTGTCCTCATATAGGAATCGAATGGCCATACAGGAAGCAAAACCAAATGGTTATATTTTAATTTGCCATTTCAGCCACTAATGATACAGCCTTAAATGCCTGGTCAGTAAGGTATCATTAATATAGAATTCTCTATCAAAATTAATTTGATTTTAACAGGCAAGGTAACATGATGAACTAAGGGATCTCTTAAGAAATCTTGTATTTTTCCTTTAAGACAAAGATAACTTGCTACTTTTCCATTCAAGATCAAAGAAGGGAAGTAATACAAGGAGACAAAGACAGAAGAAAGAGAGACAGAGCATTTGAAGCTTCAATTTTCTCTCTAACACTTTTTCTTTTAGATCAGTACAATCAGGAGATTCACCCTATATAGAAAGAAGAATAAAAAAGGGAGGTTACATATGGCCAAAAAGAACTCTGGGCAACTTTACTGATGTGTTTAAAGCTACCGTACTTTACAATTCTTATTTCAGAAGTAAAATGATAAACAAAAAACAAAGCACTTTTAATCTTCAAAGCAATGTATGATCAGTAACAACTTCATAGCACTCGATATTCAAGCATCAAAATCTGTATCTTACTCCAGGAGAGAAAGATGTGTAGAGAACAAGTGATCTGCCTCAGTCCAACGCTGAACTGGGGATGGAACTCAAGCATCACAAGCTTCTATGTTAAACGACAAAACCATGTCTTCATTCAGGACCTGTTCTTTTGTTACCAGTTTTTATTTGAGCAAATGATTATTATAATAGACAGACTATGGACTTTTCTCCAGCCCCTGCAGAAGCATTTGAGATACTAATGGAGGTACATCCAGGATTATTTGGCAAAATATTTAGCATAGCACACCAATTAACATACTATGCTTCTGAAATTCATCTAACCACTTCAAGTAGGTTACTTGAATAACTATTCGTTAGGGTCAACATATGAATAGCTTCATATGGGCAATAGCTTCCCTGTTAAATTATGTTTATAATCAGGGCATTCTGCAAGACATATCCAGCCTCTGAGTTAGAGCTATGCTTTCTGACCCTTCACAGCTTTTGAGAACAGAAGTCTGGCCTGGCATACTGAATGTTGCAATAATATTGGTCATTGATCTCATCTTCGTCCATCTAAATCACAAGAGATCTTTTCAAGAGCAGAGATTAAAGAGATGTTCAGTCAAAGATCAATTTAATAGGAACTTTACAACTGCCTGCAGTACAGAAACTTTGAAAAAATCCTGAAATATTTGCAAATCAATTAAAAAAAAAAAATAGTTTCTCCTGGAAACATACACCTCTCAAACTACAAGGAAAAAGATTTCCATATCATTGTACTGTAAACTTACTGTGATCTGTGGGAATGCTTAGAGATTTAATTTACATACTAATGCTGCAAGCAAGTTGGGGAGTGAAGGGGGGAGAAGAGTTACTTAGCACCAGTAATGAGCAGAAAGGAAAAGAAGGCAGCTACAGTCCCCATGGACTGTTTTGTTTTCAATAATTTTAGCCTGTCTAATAACGCCTTTTAACAAGCTGCTCTCAGCTATAAAGCTGCAATCAGCCTTTGTCAGAGAACATAATACTGCCCGAGACAGGAAAATAGTTCTGATATAATGGACAAAAGACCTCATCTAAATAAAAGCTGCTTAAAAAAAGGAGAAAAAACTTCCATCAGTGAAAGACATAAATTATGCTCTCTATACTATTATCCTTTCATTTCTAAAATACTAGATTTCCAAAGGCTATCTATTAAAGCAAAATACATTCTAAAAAACACATTTTCTGGTTTACTCCAGTCCTAGTTTACAATTAGACAAACTTGATTATTTATAAGGTATTTGTGCCCTACAAGTGCAATCCAAATTATGACTGATCACGTTAATTTTCTCTTTATAGTCTATGCTACCCACTTAGTCTCTTAAGTGACTACTATGTGACACCGAGATCAACATTGCAATAGGCTATCCAAATTTAAGACTATTTTCACTTCACTCACTCAATTTAATGGCAGTGCTCACTGAAGCTCAAGTCTAGCTATAAAAGCCTAAGATTATATATATGATAGGTAAAACACAGATGTTCTACTCCGTTAAACACAGGATTCCTCAAAACAGCGGGTCACCTTCACTGCTGACAAATGCAGGTCCAACTCCGCTGATGCCAAAACCAGCCATGCCACCATAAACTGGAACTGAATCTACCCAACATCTGGGTTTAAAAGTTGGTTTATAAGCCATTACTAATTCTAAAAGAATTCAGTATCATACTTTTAGTACATGCATTTCTTAATTTTTATAATTCAAAGCACTAACAAGATGGAAACAAGATCACTTTTTTCCTAGGAATTTTTCTGATCTTTCCAGTATTATCACCATCCTTTTCTTTCCAGCAACAGACCTACTGTATTGGCAGTTATCACATTTTACAGATCAGTTCAGAAACATGCCTAAAACTTAAATAAGACACACTGTCAAAAAAAAAAAAAAAAAAAAAAATCACTAAAACCAGCACAAAATCTGTTTGTCCTGAAGATACACTTATCACCTTAGCAATATAGGTAGAGATCCTTGTTTAACCTTTTTTTAATGTCTTCTGCGGGAGAGTTAGCATAAACCACAGTGGCATTTGGTTACTGTACTTTGCTCTCATTTAAGGAAAAATAAATTTATGACTTAGAAAAACAGGTAACTTGTGGAGTTTAAACAGCAAAATGGTAGCCGCCTTCTCTTGATACACTTCTGCCCCCTCTCATAGGAAAGGGAACTGACTGTATTTGTGACTGGCAAGTCACACTTTCTCTGAGGGGTGCCAGATAATAATAGCATGTCAACACACTCACAGCCAAATGCTCCTTTTTTGCCAGCGAGATTTCATAACGCTTCCTCCACTTCTAAAGCTCTCCAAACAAAAGAAGTGCTAACTCTGTTACAACATACAGTCCAAAGGACCCAAAACTGTCTGTTTGAACTCTTCTAGCACAGAAATAGAGGGAATTTTTTTTTTTGCACGACTTTTTCCCCTCCCCTTTTTTTTTTTTATTATCTAGAAGCTTTATACCTTTCTCTAGCTAGTGGTAAAATAAGAAGGGGAACAGGTATGAAATTCAATTAAGAAACACCGTTTTGTTTTGTTTGTTGGTTGGTTGTTTGCCAATATCATTAGATCAGTGCCTGAATATATAGCAAGGGTAGAGTAAACCTGAAATGCAAATTCTCAAGCTGAAAAAAATCTCAGTGAAACACAGGCTTCCAGTCAGCTCAGACAAAATGCTAACAAGTACTGAATTAAAGTGTGAAGCAGCCAGTACTTTAAGAACAAGATCCCCAATATTGATTTTACAAAAAATAGTTTATCAGGAAGTTAAACACACATCTAGAGTCCCAAGTAGTTTCTCCACACTCAGAGCTAAAAATTCAACAATATGAGATTTTTAATCCTTCTATACCCTGAGATTATTCAGGATTCTAACTTCTCTACGGAGGGACAGACCCTCCCCTCTCCACAGCACCACCATCTGATTAATACACTGAGCAACACTTGCACGGATCACGTAATGAGAGCTTTTCTCTTCCTCCCTTTATAAACTTGTTTCTACTTGCAAGCTATTTCATGCTATCTCAGAAACACTGGGAATTAACGGTAGCATGTAGTTATGCACCCAGAGCTAGTAAGAGGTCACAGAAAGGGCTTCTCATTGCCATTTCCTAGCAATTCCCTGTCATTTCAATACACAAGGTTAAATTACTCCAGAAGGCTCCCTACAGGGCTTCCATTGTTTGTCAGTCAAGGCTAGGACACAATGGCCTTCATTCATGTGCACAGCCAGCAAGCAGCTAAGGGCCAATGATCAGCATACAGTCTCATTTTGGTTCTTCTGCAAACAGTTTGTAGAAAGATGGCATTTCAAATAAACTATGTCAATTTTTCAAAGCTTCAATGCATTCCTATTACAAACTACTTAGTAGGGAGTCCAGAGAAAAATTAAGACAACTTGAGAGCAACATGAAGAATCACTCAAAAAACCACTCACTCACGAGGACTGCTCCTGAAAAAGATCTGCTTGCTACAACCACATGCAAAAAGATTACGTTTTAATAGTTAGAGAAATACATTCAGAAAAGTTCAAAATAGCTGATTCTTTCCAAAGACAGTCATACTATGCTTTTGCTTTTAGAGTACGACCTAGTGTTCAGCCTCAGAGCTTATATTACTAAGGGGTATAGACACCAAGGTTCCAAAGTGCAATTAAGGCTGTTTGCTTCATATCTTCTGGTTAAGAACCCAAGAAGTTTAGGGTGGGGTTTTTTTGGTTTTGTTTTGCTTTTCTTTTTCCAACATGTTAAAAATAGAAAAAACAAATGCAATATGACAGAAGTCCAATGTTGCTGATAACTGGAGAGATACAAGCCTCACACACCTCTTCATTGTTTTGCCTTTTCTACTTCAAAACTTGCTAGAGCAAAGACTTTGTCTCCTGATCCTATGAAAGGAAAAAACATTTTCAGTAAGTATTAGCAGAAATTGTGAATTTCCTTATATACAATTTAGATAAAGCAAAACATTTGAGATCAAAAGAAATCAAACCTACATTTTGAAAACTAGAACACTTGAGCAAATTAAAGGAAAAAAAATAATTTAAAAAAAAAAAAAGGCACACTGGCTTGACAGGTCTGAAATCAGCCACGTTGCACCAGGTCTGGCTGGGATGGCATTAGCTTTCCCCACAGCAGCTCACATAGTGCGGTGCTTTGTATTTGTAGGTAGAATGGTGTTGATAACACACAGATGTTTTGGCTACTGCTGAGCAGTGCTGGCACAGCATCCGGGCTGTCTCGCCCCCAAAGGCCAGCAGGCTTGGGGTAGGCAAGGGGTTGGGAGGGGACATAGCCAGGACAGCTGACCCAAACTGACCAGAGGGATAGTCCATACCAGATGACACCATGCTCAGCAATAAAAGCTAGGAGAAAGGAGAAGGTGGGGGATTTGTTATTAAGGCATTTATCTTCCAAAGGAACTGCTACATGTACTGGGGCCCTATTTCCCAGAAAGTGGCTGGACATCACCTGCTGATGGGAAACAGAGAATAAATCTTTTTGTTTTCTTTTGCTTCTGTGCACAGCCTTTGCTTTTCTTTATTGAACTGCCTTCATCTTGACTCACAAGTTTTTAATTTTATTTTCTCCTCCTGTCCTGCTGAGGAGGGGGAATGAGTGAGCAGCTTGGTGGGCACCTGGTGGCCAGCCAAGGTCAACCCACCACACACATAGAGAGCTTCTAATGAAGTACCCATTTGAACAAAAGGCTTCTCGCCTTGCTTACACTCTCAGGAAGAGGAGTACTGAAAGGTAGGTCACAGAGACAGCTTATTTGTACCCTGACCTAGTCTGGCATGTTCCTGCCATTCATAGTTCTTTCATCACCGTTCTAACTGTAATGCTAGAACGAACAGTTGTGCTTATTTAATGCATATTATAACTGAACTTTTCGTCTTGCCAATACAATTAGAGTTATGACAATCATAGCAAGAAGAGTGCTTTAAAGCTGTATTTTGACAATGTGTCAATAATTGCTGAATTCTCTGCATCAAGCAGAGGGAAAGGCTCTCCTGAAGAGAGTCATTAATGTAAAAAAGATCTGTGTTTAACTGTAAGAGCAGTATCTCTGCTTGAGATAGACCATTCAAGTCTTCTGCATTATGGGGAACACTTGGCATTTTATGGACATTTGGCACTGGATTTATTTGCTGTGTTACTTTTTCCTCATGGATAGTGTATCAGAGTTTCATTGTTAATAAACCAGAAAAATGTACATAAAAATTTAATGGCATGAATCTTTTGTTCGTATTTTGTCTTTCATAGGGGAATCACAGGTGTTTCTATTAATCAGTGTTCAATGAGGCAAAGAAATTGGAAGTTACGAGAATGAAAACTTACCAAGGTCAGTGGAGACTCTCTCAAACTGGCTCAGGGCTGTACCAGCATTTGCTGACAAGAACATCTCATCATCTGGAGTGAGCTAAATCAAAAAAGGCCAAAACTGTGAACTTAGTGCCTTAACCATGCGTATTCCCACCATCTACATGGGCATATATATGAACTATGACAGGTTACAGCAATTGTCAATTTGCAGTTTTTACGTGACAGTGTTACCTAACATACTAAAAGCCAAAGTAAAAATGCAAGCTACTCCCCCTACCACTGAATTTTTTCTCAATGGCGCCTGTCAGCCCAGGAAGGACAGCATATGCAACATCAGACATGCCTCTACACATGCCACTAAGTTTCAAGCTGACCTCCAGTGATAATTTTTGATGAAAAGTTTACACCATACCTCTGTACCAAAACTATGTAAAAGATGTCAATTACTTTTTTGTCATGTGGTTAATACAGTAATGAGCTAAGATCTAAGCTCACTTCATATCATTTACAGAGGAACGCCAAAACATGCAGTCACTACCAGCTTTGACCATGTTAAGAGTCAATGACCTAGAAATGGTTCTCTTCCTTTGAAGTGACATTTGCACATGTATATTTTGCTTTTATGTATGTGCTCTGATGCCTTGTGACAGACGCCCATAAAATATTTACAATAATGAAGTAGTAACCTACATTTGGAAGGTTCAGATATTCAAAGTTAAAACTCATTCATTTAAATAGCCTCAGATATATATCCTTATTAAAGAAAAGCATAAGTGTGTCAAACTGTCCATAGTGTTTGCATCATTTTTTAAATTAAAAACACAAAAATCAGGTACAGGCATTCAGAATGATGTTGGAATGAAGGAAAAAGTATTAGTGACCTGCCTTTGCTGTGCTTTGTAAGCAAGCATTTAACTACCGAACATTTTGCAGTATTGTGCAGACAAACATGTAATATTTACCATAATTTTTCACATTCAGACCAGTTGTGTAACTACTATCCTAGCAAATCCTCTGGAAGCAGGTTACTGATCATTTTGAAAGATAAAGAAGAGTTTATGTAAAGTGTGGTGAAGTGGCTTGTCTGAAGTGACCCAAGGAACTCATGCTAGGAGGATTAGATAACTTCATGCATTCAGTTCAGAATCTTAACTAGCCTCATAACCTATTTCCAAAACATTTTTTTCTCTGACAGTCAAGCAATAAAAATATTCTGAGGGAAAGCATTTGCTAGTATCACCTACTTGGAATGCTGCTCCTTTAAGTACTGCACTTGATCTTTTCCATTACATTCCCTCATTTCCTAAGAAAGTTTAAGTACAGAGATACAAAGCAATCTGTTTTCTTCACAGACCATCAACAAAGAGAAATAACAACTTCTCTTCCTCCCTCTACTGGTAAAAACCAGGGATTGTTCTGCCACTGATGTACTCACTGGGGAAACGATCAGCTCATCAGCTCTCCAATTTATTGATCTTACACCAGAAGGTACGTATGATCACCAATACAAAAGTAAGTAAAGCTCAATGTATGTCAAAAGTCTTGGATAGTTCCTGTCAGGTGGACAGGTGGTAGCCAGTAAAAGACTTGTTCTGTAGCTTTTATAAATATCATCAACTTGTAACGGCTTATACGCGACTCATTCGTGTGACCCACCAAAGAAAGCTTTTTAAAGTAGAAACAGCCTTATATAAATGTTCAGTACTATTTGATATATGTTCAGTAGTGAGTGCTTCACAAAGCTTAGCATTACAATGGAAGGACATTTATGTACTACAAAAGCAAGCTGTATTTTATCATTTGCTCATGAACAAAAGCTGTACTTTCTTATTTTAATGATTTCAAATTCCTCTTCAATATATACGTAGGAATCTCTATTTACTTAACTATCATACCAACACCTTACCTTCTCACCAAGTTTTCTGAGGGCAGTCAGGATTTCCACTTTCTGCTGTGTGTATAGGTCTCGTCCCAACTTCCCAACCATTAAGTCTCGGTCCATCTGTATACCGGGGGAAAATAAATCAAAATATATAAGCTTCCCATTAGTTTCACTCAACACAAACAGCATGAGAAATGCAGCAGCCTAAAGATATCATCAGTAAGCATGGTACCCATGGAAGTAAGGGACAGAGCTACCCATAATTTAAAAGATGGCCGTAAAGTTTTCCTGAACATTCTGCAAATAATCTTTGCACCTAACCTGAGCGTTCTTGATTTCTCCAAACTTGAATTTCTTTTAATCAAAGAATGCCATTCATTCAAAATTATGGATTCACGTATCACTGATACATGGAGGAATCACATTTCATTTCACTTTATCTGGATCTCAAGTTCAGTCTAGATTTCTAAAACATCAAGTGTACTCTCCAGCCCCTCAATACAGATTCATACTCTTCAGATTTTCTATTTGCAGTTATACTCAGTTCACTATCTGTTAATCACATTTTTGTTTTGAAGCAGCAAGATAGAAGATAATTCATGAAATACACATTGTTGTGTCCAATAAACATTTAAAACTCAACAAATTCTCAAAGAGAACTTCTTTTTCTCCTTGTGATGCTCCCACCAATTTTTCTAACAGACTTGGTACTCTCCTTGCAATCACTGCATATTTAAATCAGCCTAGCTCAAATAAACGGTTTTCACAGTAAAACAGAAACTTTCACCTCTGCCAACCTTGTCCTCAATTGCCTCGGCTGTTTCTTTGCAAACATTCTAATTACTTCTGGAGTTTTAAATGCTTGGCTGATGGCTGCTTGTATTGCCTACAAGGAAAAGAGCAAAAATGACCAGAACTAATAGCAGTCACAAGCTAGAGCTGCATGACAAGATTAATGAAGGCTGGAAAGCATCATTAATATCCTCTGCATCATTTGATACAGAAAGCTTTTCTCTTTTTGCATAACCATGGAAGTGAGATTAAAAAAAAAAAGTATGACTTCTATGCAGGGCTTGAAAAATCCACTAATTAGTGCAACTACACTGAGAAGAGCTGTGAAACTTTTCATTACAATCCAGGTCTCAATTTCTAATAATCTCCAACATCTTCCTGATATTACCACATCACAAGTGGATGTGCTATGCTATCTTTAGCAGTTTTAATGTCCATACTGATGATTACAGCTCTTCTAAGGGTAAGCAGAATGTAAATGACATGGTAAATCTCCTCCTATTATTCAAAATCCTCTACGGAGTATCAAAAGTATTATGATTAAATCTCACCTTAGTTATGTTCGGAGAAATCATGATCTCTCCGAAACAAAACCCTAAAACAGGGCTCAGAAGGAATAAATCATGCTCTAATTAAACATTTAAAAAGAAAGAAAACAGATCAAATGTTTGGAAGTCAGCATAAAATGCAATCAATCCACTACATAGTTACACAGTCACTCCTACAGCCTTTTCATTTCAACTGGTATCAATCTGAAACACAAATCAGCAATAACAGCACAGGAAATGCTACCTTTATGCTTTCTGACAAACAGGCATGAACTTTATTTCTCATTATATATATTGTCCTGGACTGTCCCTCACACCTTTTATATTAATTTGTATTATTTCGTGTTATTTTCTAATATTAAGGATCTGATATATTTCGTCTCTGAATTTCCCAGTTTTTTCTACAGTGTTATGGTTGTAATTCTTCAACACTTTTTTTCCTTCTAAAATGAAGAGACCTAACCAAGTTTTCATATGTGCACATATATTAAATAATAAAAACATTAGCTACATATGTCTAGCTTTCACATATGCCTGTCTAAAAATTATAATGGACCACTTGTATCTATTTTCTGTTTCACTGAGTCCAGGCAGTACATGAACTATTTTTAGTAACACATCATCCTTACCAGTTGCATCCCACTGAGCTCGTCCACCAAAGTCATATCTCCAGACATAATCTTCTTCAGGGAGTCATTGATCTCACTCAGCTGTTCTAGAGTTTCTTTTTTTGTCTCTTCATACTCATCTGCATCTAGCTCCTCTCTAAAGAGGATCCAACAAGACACATTAATTCACAGGATTAAACCCGAGATGTAATGTAGAGAAAATGACATCAAGGGAATACCACGAAGCATGCTTCCTCAGATAGCAATGAAAACATTCACATCACTTCAGATTATTCTGCTCTAGCCCTCTTAGCTGTTATTTAGCTAATGCATATGTAGTTTTCTTGATTTTGCACCACCTCCTAGGCACCAAGAATCACAGAACTGGTTTGGTTGGAGGAGACCTCTAGGATCATTGAGTCCAACCTTAGCCCTAACATTGCCACGTCAACTAGACCATGGCACTAAGTGCCCTGTCCAGTCTTTTCGTAAACCCCTCCAGGGATGGGGACTCCACCACCTCCCTGGGCAGCCCATTCCCATGCCTAACGACCCCTCTCTGGGAATAAATGCCTCCTCATTTCTAGCCTGAACTTCCCCTGGCGCAGTTTCAGACGATGCCCTCTTGTCCTGTCACTGATTGCCTGGGAGAAGAGGCCGACCCCCACCTGGCTACACCCTCCTTTCAGGTCGTTGTAGAGAGCGATCAGGTCTCCCCTCAGCCTCCTCTTCTCCAGGCTGAACAACCCCAGCTCCCTCAGCCGCTCCTCATAAGGCTTACCCTCGAGACCCTTCACCAACTTTGTTGCCCTTCACTGGACTCACTCCAGCACCTCAACGTCCTTCTTGAAGTGCGGGGCCCAGAATTGGACACAGCACTCGAGGTGTGGCCTCACTAGTGCCGAGTACAGGGGGATGATCCCTGCCCTGGTCCTGCTGGCCACACTATTCCTGATACAAGCCAGGATGCCATTGGCCTTCTTGGCCACCTGGGCACGCTGCTGGTTCATGTTCAGCCGGCTGTCGACCAGCACCCCCGGGTCTTTTTCCACTTGACCACTTTCTAATCACTCCTCCCCCAGCCTGTAACGCTCCATGGGGTTTTGTGGCCAAAGTGTAGGACCTGGCATTTGTGCTTGTTGAGCCTCATGCTGTTGGTCTCAGCCCATCTATCCAGCCTGTCCAAGTCCCTCTGGAGAGCCTTCCTACCCTCAAGCAGATCAACACTCCCACCTAACCCGGTGTCATCTGCAAATTTCCTGAGGGTGCCCCATGCACTTGTGTTCTTTGTATGAAGTCATTTGTATCAAAAAGGCCCTGACAACTCAAGACTTCGTGCAAGATTTAAAAGTGTGGTTTAGATCTCAATAAAAATATGCCGTGAGATTGTCTTGCTCAAAGCTACAGTAAATGAAATTATCCGAGAAGCCTACCTCCTCACCCCAAACCTATCAAGTTATTCAGGAATAACTGATCCTGCTGTCTAAACCTTGTCCAATTCAAAGAGATTACCAACCCTCAGTAGTTATAATTGTTCCTGAAAAAAAAAATACGTACTGCTTGGACAAGTCAGAATTATTGTCAGAGAAAGCATCTAAAACCACACAGAATGTTTAAGAGCAAGTACTGAAACAGAAAAAAAACCTTTTCCTTGGTAATTCAGTCTATCTCTAATTTTATCAGCCCACAAAAAACTATCACAAAATCCCATGAAACAAATCACATGAAAACGTTAGACAAACAAAAAAAAACAACTCAAACCCAAACATCTATAATTATAAGACAAAACAAAATAGACACAAAAGCTATTTGCTAACTGCTATCAAGAAAGCCCATATGAAAATTGGGAATTCTGTGAACAGCTATTAAAAGCTAAAAAGTCACACTGAAATAGAAAATTTCAAAGAAAACAGTAATGAGTATTTCTGCTTGCATTTTCTTCAAGAAAATGATAAATAGAAAGATCTTAATAAAGGTTTTTTTAAAATAATTTTGACTACCCAACACAAACATCCTACCTAATTTAAAAAATACAAAGCCACAGCAAAACACAAAATAAAACAAAAAACTCACAAGATTTTGGAAAGACACCACTTTCTTCTGCCAACCACTGATATTACCATATCAGAGGAAAGTATCTATTTTTACTACCTGCATTCCTCCAGATCTTGAAGCTGCTGCATTAATCTATCCAACTGCTCTTCCAAGTTTTGTTTTAGTTTACTGGTCTCTGTTGTTCCTCTTGAAGCCATTTTCTGTCTTCACATGAAAATTTCAAGTTGTTACATGACACTCCTACAAAAAAAAAACATTTCATTGTTGTGTATCACCAACTTAAAACTTATTTTAAAATACTCCAAGTATCGAGAAAATTAAGCAATATCTTGATGATGGAATGTCTAATCAAAACACTTGGAGATCCTTGCAGTAGAAATACAAACACGTTAGGCTGGGTCTACAGGATTGTTATCTTTGTAGCAAGATGCAGTTCACCGAGGTCATAACTCAAACAGCCACAGCACCTCAAACCAAACAAGTTTCAAACCAGGGAGTAATTACTGAAATACCGAGGCCCCGCTATATGAAACAACATATTCTACTCTTCAACGGCCCCTTGGGAAACTACTGAAGTGACAACAACCGGGATGCAGATGTCCGAAGCATGCAAACGCCTTCGACAGAATATTAGCTGTAGAAAACTAGAAACTGTAGAGGAAATCCGTGCTTCTTTGGGTATCAAATAGGGGTAGACAGCTAGCCGATGGTAGCGATCGATGGGATATCCCTGGGTAATGCACCGCCTCAACAGCCGTTGACCAGCAAGTTCTGAGGGTTTGCACAAAGGCCAAAGGGCTCCATCAGCCAGCAGACAGACTAGGAAACACGGTCCTCCCTGCTGGAAAGGTGTGAGAGAGGAGAGCAAAGAGCAGGTCTGGGGAGAAGAGAACCGAGAGGAAGGCACTCAGGCACTGTCCGAGTCCTGCCTGCCCATCCCCAAGGCCAGGCTCCGGCCCGGCTCTCCGAGAACCGAGAGGAAGGCACTCAGGCACTGTCCGAGTCCTGCCTGCCCATCCCCAAGGCCAGGCTCC